TAAAAGATTCTATCGTTACATGGATTATATGTTTGAGTTAAGGTTTATTATTTATATGAGTTGTTATTACAGCGTGTGTGTGATTCATTTGGCTTATAGGTCTTATTTAACTTTTATTTTTATTTTTATTTTCTGTGTTTCATTAATTTTATTTTTAAAAATTATTGTTATACATAAATATTAAGTATAATATGTACATGTAAAATTTTAATTATATAAATATAGGTAATAAGTCAGTTAAATAGATCAAATAAATAGTTTTAAATCTCTATATTTGGTACTTGATTACTCGACTTGATACTTATGTTATACTATTTTTATACTCATTACTTATTTATTTTTTTTACAATTCAGGTATAATTTTTATCTAAATGAATAAAATATTTACAAGTAATTGATATACTCGTACCCAATACTCACTCAAAGAAATAATCCCAGCAAATGGGCCAAAAAATTGCTATTCATGACTGAGAAATTCTTGAGCCCAATTTATAGCACCAAACCATATTATCTCCTCTCTATAACAAAATGAAAGATGAAAAGGTTATCAATCAATCTAAATTAATAAAGAGTTCTTGTTTTATAATTTAAGTTGTATTGGACTGTAAAATAGAAATTATTAAATAAAAAGATATCCATCAATATTAAAAATATTTTATCTATTAATTAAAGTTGTGCAATTTGAAAGAATTCAAATTATACAACACTTTTTCAATTAGTAAATAATATTGTTAATAATTTGGGCAGTGCGTTGGTGCCTTGTCATGCACAATAGCATAAAAAGGTGCTCAAGAAATGTTAGTAAACTTTTGTCCTATATAGGATGCCTCAAATACAGTCATCAACTCGAGATCTTGAATTTGAATTTTAAAAGACAAAAAAGGGGAGAATTATTATTCTTATTTTATAACACATATAATACAAGAAAATGTCAGTTAACTTTAAAAAATCAATTGTTCAAAATGTAGAAGTTCATTTAATTTAGGGGTTAAAATTAGACTTCAATTGTTGGAACTTCCATCTTTTTCATATAGCTTACAATCTAAAATTGTAAATCTATCATTTTTAATTAAATTTTTTTATATAATTCTACTAATTTTACTTTAGTTAATACAATATATTTTCTATATTTTTAGATAATAAAAAATTTAAAAAAAAAACTAAGACTACAATACAATACAGTACAATACAACACTAATAAACAAAGCTGTAATCTTAATTTGATTGAACAAAAATTTTTTCTCTCTTTTAATTTTCTCAAGCCAAACTTACCCTTAATTAATTTGTAAAAACAATACATATTTAGCCATTTAAAAAGGGGTAGATTTCATTTTCGTAGTTTATTTTTATTTTTTTATTTCTTTCATTGAAGCATTTCAAGCACCTTTTGTTTATTTATTTCATTGAGATCCTAGAAGGTTTTAGCTTGGATGTAAAAAGGTACTATAATGAAAAGAAGTTAAAAATAAGTTTATTAATTATATGAAAGAGATCCACAAACCTGGATTCCGGACTGTGGCATGAACCATGTAGCCTCCTTGAAGCAGAACTTTCACCAACCATGATCCGATATACCCAGTGGCTCCAGTGACGCAATATGTAGGAGGAGCCGCCACCCTTTTCCCCTCAAACACCGTAGCAGCCACCTCCTCCATCTCTGAACTCTCTGCTGCTGCAGCTGAGGTTTCTTTTGGTAAAATATATTGTGTGTATTTTAATGGTATAATGGAAAAAGGATTAGACAGCACCTGGACACATTCTAGTTTGCGATTGGCTTAATTTTATAATGCATAAGTGCTGTGTACAAATATCTTAGGGTGCGTTTAGGAAGCGTTTGGAGTTGCTATAAAGTGCTGTA